ATCAGCAATCTGTTTCTGACTACTAAATCTTGTCATGTGAATTAACTCATCTATGTCATTGTTCCCACTGCTTATAATCGATGCATCAATAGTAATAAGTGTTGTCTTTTTGCATTTTCTACATTGAGATTGGCCTGCAAATCCAAATATTATATTTGTTGTTAAACAATATTTACATCCATTATAAGTTATTGAACAATATGAACATTATTTGAGATAATCAGTTACTGTTTTTAGTCTTATATCACACAGTTTATACAAGTGGTTTTTTGATCCCACCATGGTAAATATAGATTGGAACAAGTTTTTTAGTATAAATTGATTCTACCCATCCAGAAGAAATTTTATAACAATCTGAACATAGCATAAAGACAATATTACCATTTTCAGGTATTTTATGATAAACTAACTTTCCACATAATTTACAATCCTTATTATTTTCTAATATGGGTTTACTCGCATACAAATTAACATTATGATATATATTATATACTTGTTTGAAATATAAAATTTCGGAGCAATTTTCACACCATTCATGAATGATTTGTGTGCAATAACTTTCATTCCTAGTTTCATGTTTATTACAACTATAATATTTATTATAATTTGTAACTATAAGTACATCTAAATACGTATTATTTTTATCAATACAACCAATATACTTGGTTAAGCAATTTTGACAATACTTTTGTCTAAATAAACGTGTATAGGAGTATCTATTTCCGCAATGACAATTAACATCATTGTTTACAAATGGAATAAACGTAATTGGTACAGTACTGGATTTAAATTTTGGTGTTATATCAAAAGAACTTTCATCATTTGTAGTTGTATGTTCCATTTTGATATATCATTAAAATTTGAATTTGAAATTTGAATAATAACATTTTATAATTTATTCGGGTTGCACAATTCGGAAAGAATTTCCGATTCCGGAATTCTTAAGAAGTATTGCATCGAAGATCTTTATAGAAAGTTCGTATTTAATTAATTTAATTATAGAAGATTTTGTACGGCTCAGGTGCATATTGAATCGTACAGTTATTTTAATCATCTCTACAACAATGCTTGAAGGGAAATTAACCTTAAATGTAATTAAATACTCCACAAATAATAAGTTAATTTTCGAATAGTCAGATTTTAATTGATTTAATAATAATTGATAATTTGAATCAAATAATAAATTTAATGTATATTATTTAAAATTTGGAATTGGACCATACAATCATCTATTTAATTGAAAACAAGCTAGCCCTAAATTTTTAAAAGCATAATAACTGCGGAACATATAATTTCGAGGCGCAGCCATACTGGCTGTTGTTGTTGGTAATAATTAGCTTATTATGTGGTGAAATGAAACAATTATTAGAAAATGAAAGTTTATTAAATAAACCATTGTTTAAAATCAAAAAACCAATTATTTTCTTTTTTGAAAGATTTTCTTGGGTAGCCGACAAACATTTCGCCGAAATCTACTTACACCATATCATATCTTCAAAAAAATTTTATTTATAATTTTTTAGCATAACAGACACTAACTAAAAATAATAAATTAAATGCGTTTAATGAAATAACTTCTCTTTATCCCTTATTATGTTGTAAATGCGTGATTGTAATAATAATAATACTTGAATACATTAAAAATAAATAAATTTTTATACATGTAATTATATTTACAAGGCTTTAAGAAGCACTGTCGCCAGTGTCGGTGAAATAATCCTGTCGAGAGTGTCGGTAAATATGAAAAAGTTTGTCGGTGAGACTATAAAAAATTTTCGCCGAATATTTCCATTATTTCTCCGTGGCTTACGTAAAAAGATCCTTTCACGGAATCCGTATAAGATATGAAAATTTCCGTGATTAATATTATAAATTCCGTGAAAATGAGCCCTTCACAAAAAACAAAACACGGGTCAACTTTTTTTATAGGACCTATTTCCAAATATTAAACCATCCTTAACGCTTAGATAATTTGTAATTTAATTATCATTATTATTTCATAATAAATTTTTAATATAAATATTTTAAATAAAATATTCTTACCTGAGAATGGTTGAGGTTGATTTTTTTTTAAAAGCACATTTTACTACATTTTACATCCTCCCTCTTTTACTTCCCAATTTTTAGAAAATGCAACACGAAAATAATATGATTGACTACAAATAATAGCGGAATGTACTAGCTTGTATAATCACATATAATAATCCTTGGAAGTTCCTTGAACATCAAGAAATAATTTCGATTCTTTTAATGTATTAATTTGAGAGAAAGTCTATATTACGCAGACTTGATTTTCTGTATTAATAATTTGTAAGATTTGATTTATTATATTAACATCGGCTCATTGTTACATTATAATTCTTTGGCGACTCTATTATATTTTCTGCACATGAATAACACTACGCCAATTAATTAATGAAACCATTTCTCAAAGCATTCTAAGTATATCTTTTTTTTTATATAAATTATTTAAGTGAAACAAATGAGATATTTTTTACTTGGATTTATATTAAGATGCTTCATAATGTCTCATTATTCCATACTTTTAAAATTAGCCGTCCCTATCCCATATCACAAAAATCCAAATCCTATCCATATCCTTATTACCTGATATAATTTATTTGCTGGAAGCGCTTATAAAAACAAAAAATATAGGATAAAATAAGATACATATCAACGAGTAATCCGAACGCATAAATAAATCTAAATAATCGTCTTAAAGCTCTTTGTTATACTTGGTGTATTATGTAAAATGATGTTATTTATTTATTTTTTTTTTTTGAAGCGAGCTGAAAATTTATTTCTAAAAAAAGTTATAACTTATTCTTATCGATTAGCTAATTTTACGTGTCTTTTTTCAGGCCAAAACAATGGATATTATGATGAAAAAGTGAATGAGTGAATAGCGTCACGTCATCATATTTTTGGTCAAGCTTTGTGACTACACATGTTTAGGCCAAGGATTTTTCACGCTTGTTAATAAACACTATTAATTACGCATGGATAAATATCTAAATTGTGAGGGCAAGCATATCGAACGCGCAACAAATATAAGCAATTTTGAAAGACGCATATCTTATATGTTATGTGAGACGTCAATTCCCACGGGAAGCATATAAACGGGTTGAATAGGGAGGAAATGATGAAATGATAGTTAAAGTGTAATTTATATTGGGGAGAAGAGAGAAAAGCAAGAAATAATCATTTTGATGTAGTAATTCCAGTCGTAAAATTTAGTTTAAAACATTAGAAATTCACCTAAAGTTCATAAAAGCCAAAGTTGTAAACTATTACAGTATGCAAAATTAATCCGCTTTTTGTCCTTTATTAAAAAAGCGGATAGTGTAATATAGAAATTTTGAATCTGCATCACATATCATCCCAATTGGGAAAGGTGAATAAACTCTCTCACCAAAACTGTCACGTGATTATTTTAGATACAAGTTCTGCTAACTTAAAAGGGTCTTTAAGAGACAATTATTTACCACTATCACAATCAACCCATCCGGCTATATTGTTAAAAGCATGACTCAGACATTTTTCAAATGTCTAAATAATTGATTTATTTTCCTGAAATGTTTAGCTTGCTTCATAAAATAAACAAAACAATAACGACCAATCTGGTCGATAAAAGTGATAAATTAGGTTATGGATTATTAAAGTAAACTGCACGAAGAATTAACAAATTATTATTACCTGAAACATTCCAATAAAGTTAAATAAAAACGTTAGATTAAGTTATTTTAATTCATGGCATACCAGTCGCACCAATCATAACAGTAGAATCCCAGTATGTAATTAAAAACAAAAAATAAATAATAATAATTTATTCATTCCTATCGTTTAATTGTAAAGATTATTCGAATTAAATCAATTTTTTTTACCGCCCTTTCTTTGTGCTCGACTTGCAAATGGTTAAATTAAACGATATTAAATTGCTTCAGAAATTTCAACAAAATGAAAAACATTTCAAAATAACCTACCCTGTGATTCAGCTGCGCCAAAAATTCGTGTAACAAACAGTAAAGTGTCTGATATGAGCTGAAATAACAAATGCATGCATTTGAATTTACCCAATTAGAAATTTACAATAAAATTTCGAAATAATTATTTACTATATTAAATTCGATCGAATAATTTATTTATTATTTATTATATGGTTTTTTTAATAAATATGCAGTCTCGAAAATTTTATTCAACAAAATAATCTGTTAAAAAAAAAATAATAAATTAAAAAGAACAAAATGATTAAATATATTTTTCTTGCGATTTTCTTCGGTTTATGGTATTATTTTACCAAAAAACCTTCAATTCCCAAAGGACTTCAACCTCTTCCATCACCTAAGGGAGCTTTATTTTATCTAGGTAGGTCGAAATTTCAGAAATATATTGCATTATTGTAATTGAAAGAAATATAATATTTTGAAAATGTTTTAATATACAGGACATAGTTATTTACTTAGTTCCAAACCACATGAAACGTTAACAAAATGGGCTAAAGAATTAAAAAGTGACATCTATTCCGTAAAGATAGGCGTACTACATTTCGTTATTTTAAATAGTGATAAGGTTATTGGAGAATTACTTCAAAAACGTAAGTCTTTTTAATTAATATAACCTTTAGAAATCATGTGATCGATGTCTTATAATATTTATTTTATTTAGGAGGAGCAATTTACTCATCCAGACTTGATTCTCAAGTTTACTTTCGTACTATAACAAGAGGATCCGCTATTGGACTTTCTCCGTATACAGAGTATTATAAGAAAGTTAAAGCGATAAGTAAGCATGAAAAATTAATTTGAAATCTTCGTGTCGTGTCGTGTTTATTTCCGGTAACAGATAAATCTTTTTTTAATTGAAACTATAGCTGTTGGAATCCTTTCGCTGCAAAAAACCGAATCTTACAGTCCATTAATTGATGGAATTACAAAAGAGATGCTTTTAGATATTATTCATGTCTCCACTTCTTTATCAAATCCTGAACCATTATATCCGCGTGAATACCTTCATCGTGCAACTTTAAATATAATATTGGAAATAACGTTCGGAATTCGTACTAAAAGTATTAATGATCCATTATTCAAACGATTGGACAAATGGGTAGAAGATTTTACATCAATCTTTTCAAGTGAACATAGGAAATCAGAATATTTCCCGATAGTGAAATATCTTCCAAACAACAAAACGATGCAGGTTACTTAATATCTTGAATTATATATTTTTTTTTTTATTTTTTAAATATAATAATAATAATAATAATAATAATTGCTACATTAATCTACAGCAAGCGAAGGTTATTAGAGATGATATTGATACAATTTTTGGTGAACTTTTGGAAGACGTTAAATCAGGAAAAAATCAATCTCCGTGTGTTGCGAGAGAACTTTATGAACAGGGAGAATTAGAAGATTATCAAATTGTTCATTTTCTTGCGAGTCTCGTTTTTGCCGGAACGGTAATCTAAATATATATTTTTTCTTTTATTTTAAAAAAAAATTATTTAAACTATTTATTTTTATTTGTTTTTTTTTATTTCAGGATACAGTAGCAGCAAGTATAACATGGTTATTGGCATTCTTGGCCAATAATCCCTCGTTCCAAGAACCGGCTCACAATGAACTTGATACTCTCATTCCAAATCATGATCGGCTCCCAACTTATTCTGATCTTAAAAACCTTTCCTACACTCATGCATTAATTAGGGAAGGCCAAAGATTTTATCCACCAACTTGGTTGGGAGTTCATCATTTAAATGAACAAGATGATGAATATAACGGTTATCATATTCCAGCAAACTCTTTAGTATTTATCAATTCTCACGCAATTTCATTCGATGAACAACGTTATAAAAATGCAAAGGAATTCGATCCATATAGATTTATTAATTTTGAACAAAGTATGGCTAGTTTGGCCAATGGATCTGCTGAAAAAAGAGATCATTTTATTTTTGGAGCCGGGAGAAGGCTTTGTACGGGAATTTATTTGGTAAATGATTTTTGATTTTTGTAAATACAAGTTTCCAATTTAATTGCAATCTAAAATTATAACTCTTTTTTTTGTTTGTTTTCCCTTAGGCTGAAGCTGAATTATTTGTTATTTTTGCATGTATACTCTATTGCTTTAAAGTTGAAAATGCTTCGCCTACCGGTGAAGATGGAAAACCTATCCCAATTAATTTGGACAAGCCTATAATTGGATTAACCATTTGGCCTGAACATTATAACATTAAACTTGTTCCTAGAAATGATCGGATAATGCAACTTTTAAATTAGTGTGTGAAGATTTTCCTTAAAAATTTGCATTATATGGATATTTTTTTTTTTTTGTGCCATCGTTAGAATTATCTTTATTTTTCCGGTGTATTATTTTTATATATTTCTCTCAATAAAATATTTAAATGTCTAAGATGATTTATTTTGATGTAAAAAATTATTTTTTTATGTTTTACAAATTATAAAATCGCGAGAAAAAGTGAATCTCATAAATGAAAAGATTTTAAAATCTATAATCACCACATTATAAGGTGAAGTTTGAACATTAAAAAAATTTACTTTTCTAGGATTAATACATGTTAAAGTCTCTGAGGGAAAATAATCTTTGAAAAACTGGAAGTCAATAGACCAGTTTTCGAGAAGAGTCATTGAAATACAAGCAAATATAATGACACGTACTATTATTATAATATTATAACATGGTATAAAAAAAAAGAATAAATAAATTTTCCATGTGTATCAACTATAGCATTATAAGAAAGTTTCTTTCATTACGAAACATTTTTCAAACTACTTGACAAGGAGCGAAAGCTCCCAAACAATCTAAGTCAGGTACATATAAGAAAACTCGCATAAAATATGGTTAGACATTTTTTTCAATTTAATTTGTCAATTCAATGTTGATTAAAATGGCATGTTAGTAAATGAGTCATTTTATGGATTGAATATTCCGGTGCGCAAGTAGTATGCGATGAAAAAACAAGAATACATAGTAAAGGACAAATAATGAATTCGAACATGCTTTGAAGGATTTAAAAACTCTGAATAAGAAATGGCATCTAATGAATTTGGTAAGGACTTTTTGATCGTTGTTTACTAGATATGTATATATATATTTTTTTTCTTTTGTAATTCTATCTTTTTTTAATTTAATAATTTTAATTTTTAATTTTGTTTTTGAATAATAGTTGGTTTAATATGAAATTTTTTGAAACATTCTAATTTTTTTACTTTTAGAAGCAATGAAATAAATGTTGAATTTACAAATAAACCATGATTGCTTCACTTCCAATAGTTTTTATAATACGATGATATCCATAATTAGTCAACATTTCGCCTAAGATAGATTTTGACGACAAAAATTCAAGTTGTATGTTTGATGACCAATTCATGAAAATTGAATATATTAAAACACTTGACATTAATGAAATTATAAATGAGAAATTAGTCATGAAAGGAATAACTGCTTTAGGTGGTGAACTGGGTTGGTACCGATGTGGAAATAAAAGGTATTTTTTTTTTTTTTTTTTGATATCGAAATAGATTTTTTGATTAAAAAGTTTTTTTTTTTTTTTTGAAATTTTGATTAAAACTTACTACCTTTATATAAAATTTATAGTCGCACTACCATCATATGTTACAGTTTATAAAATATGCCTTTCTACATCAAACATTCCATTTAGGGGAAATAATGAAAAAAATAAGTATAGAAATTATAAATTTTGAATTTCATTTAACACTTTTTTTTTTGTTCTATACATTAGTGACGTTCGAATTATAGATTGAATGTCGTATTGAATCTTAAAGTTTAAATATTTATTGACTTTTCTAGCTAAAACTTATTATTTCCATTAGAATCTAATATCTGATAGTCTTTCTAATATTTCTAAGAAAATTTTTTATGTATGATATATGAGTGTTGGAATATAAACAAGAAAGGTATAACAAAGGGCCACGCAAAAAAATTACCCTATATTTTACAAGTAGTAAAGTAATAATATTCAAACGCATATCTCTCTATTTGTAGATTAAAGTTTTGCGGTTTTCTTTCTTTCTTTTTTTATTAATTTCAGTTTTTTTCTTTTAGGAGCTGTTCTTTGTTCTAAAGTATGGGTATATTGATTTTCGATTTTAAATCATTTGCAAATGAAAATTCGAATATTTTAATTCACAAATGCCCCACTTTTGTGCTCATTGAAGTTAAAAATATTCGTGCGTGAAACGAAGTGTAGTTACATGTCTTACTAAAATACCTTTATTATTGATATTTTTTTTCTTTATTTCAAAATGGGCGAGAGATGTCATATTTTTTAAAAAAGTTATCGCACATTCGTTAATTTAGTTTTCGAAAGTATCGGTCGGTCTTATTTGGAACTGCGAATTTTTTTTTATACACCTATGAACAAATTTTGGGATGTGCCAAAACATATGATTATTTCCTAGCTTAAATTTTTTTATCATAGATAGTATTTTTGTCTACGCTGCAAGTTTACTTTGTAAAACCTGTACGAAACCTGTACAACTTTTTTCGGATAGATTAAATCCTGATTTTTGTGGAATACTGTATTCCCATAAACCAATGCTTAAAATTTTTTCATTCTTTAAAATATTTTTTTTTTTTTTACAATTATAAATAATTAATTTAATTGTATCGTATTTAATAATAATGTCTTTTACTTCAGTTGAGGGAAAAATTGCTTTCGTTTCCGGTAAATTTATACAATTATGATTTTATAAAAATGAGTTCGTATATAAATTTTTTTTTTTTAAAAAAAAAATTAGGAGCAGCCTCTGGAATTGGTAAAGCTATGGTAACTCGCTTAGTTAAAGAAGGGTAAGTAAATTTATGATTTAAAATTCTACAAATATTATTAAAAAAAAGAAAGAAAAAATTCCCTTACTAATTTAATTTTAGTGCAAAAGTCGTCGTCGCTGATATTCAAGATGAACTCGGGAAAAAACTTGTCGAACAACTTAATTCTGGGTAAGTGTCCATAAGTTACACAACATCAAATCAATTTCAATTGTCAAATTTACCAAGTTTGTATCATTGTGATAAATAGAAAAACTGAGACAATTGCTATTTATGAACACACCGATGTAACGAATTGGAATGAATATTTGGCTGCATTCAAAAAAACCGTACAAGTATACGGTCGTGTCGATGTATAACCACTTTCTTTTTATATTTTATTTTTTAATAATTCGTAAACGTTACGATATTTATAATCACATTTATTTATATCTTTCATTTTAGATTGTTGTGAACAATGCTGGTATACTTTCAGAAGGAGATTGCTTGTTTAATGATTCAGACGAACGTACGTAAAAATTATAATTATTATTAAATGGAAGTAATCTTTTTAATCATTATTTTTTTTTTTTTTTTTTTTTTTTTTTTTAGCGCCAAATGCGTTGAAAGTTATCGACGTAAACTTAAAAGGTGTGCTTAATGGAACAAAACTAGGAATTCGTTTTTTGAAGCAAAATGGAAAAGATGGAGGTGTCATTGTTAATACTGCTTCAATTGCCGGCCTCTTCAAATCGCCCCTTATTCCGTACTATTGCGCTTCAAAATTTGGTGTGGTTGGTTTATCGATTTCCGTTGCATCAACTGTAATTGCACAAAATATTCGCATAAATGTGGTTGCACCTTCAGCAGTAGGTAAGTAAAGTAGAACCTAAATAAACATTTTTTATTTTTTTATATTTATTTTATTTTTTTTTCCTGAGGGGGGACTTGTTTTAATTTTAATTTAACTTTTTTAATATCTAGATACGCCACTGCTAAAACCTTATATTCATACAATTTCTGACGATAAAAAAGTAGATATTGGCGAAGTCATTGAAGCATTCTTCAAACTTTTCACTAATCCAGCTTATAATGGTAAATGATCTTTTAAATTCATTTTACTAGGAATTATACTAATATCTGATATTATTGTTGTAGGTGAAGTTCTCGCTGTATATCCAGGAGGGAGGTTTGTTTTTGTGGAAAAATCAATTCATACTTTACCTGAAATGTACCATAAAGACGAAAAAATTAAAGAACATGAACAAACGGATGAAGCTTCGTAAATTCATTATATATATATCTGTAAATATAAATGATATTATGTTTTACAAGGTGTGACTATCACGTGACATGCTTATTTAGGTTTTCAATGTTACTATCAATAACCAAATAAATTTAATTGATTTATTTTAAAAGGACTCGATACAATAAAAATGAATTTCATAATCCTGAGTTAACTATTTTGGAGACAAATTTGTGCACATGACCGAGATCAGCCAAGTGTCCAATAATACCAACCTCTCATTTCATGAAATTCTAATTGTTGTCCAAAGCTTGCGTATTGTTAGAAAAGATAAATTTATTTTTATCTATCGATTTATGTAACCGATTTTTGCCGATTAATCGTATTGATGAAAATCGATTTAAAGTCGTTATCATTAAACGATTTGGCCGAGTTTGAGATTCAAAATCATTAAAATCATTAGCAAAATCGATTTCCGACTTTCCGATTTTCGATTCCGATCACTATATGTATAAATGTATATTTTAATATACATATATTGGTCATCTTTTTTATCCAGAAATATTTATACGTGAAGAGTATATCTTGAAGTTAAATAAAAATAAAATTTTGTAAAGTAGGCGTGAGACATAAGAAATACTTTATCGTTTCAATATGAATTCTAATAAATGAATTGGCTTTCAGTATAGATCTGCGTAAAATATTTTTTAGCGTAATTGTTGTTGTTGCACGATTACTCAGTGAAACGAACACATTAATTTCCAATAAAGTGAGCCAATTTTTTTTTTCTCATTTAAGAATAAATTTTTGCGTATGATTATTATATCTACCAAAATGAAAATTTTACTATCGAATTGCTATTTTTTAGTGATAATAATCATCATTAATAATTCATTATTGGTTTTCTGCCAGCTTATAAATCAAAGAACATACCGTGAATTAATTACGGAGCCCATTGCACTCACACCTAATGATTATCGAATCATAAACCATTCGGAGTTACCGCCCGTGAAAGATGAATTGTCAGTAACCCTAAAAATAAATATTATGGCGCATGATCCTTCTTGGGCTACCATTTTCCATAAAGGTATGTATGTATATTAACTTATTAACTTTGAAAAGTCCTTCAGTTATATGTGAAATATAATTTCATTTTTTTTACGTTTAGGAGGGTTAAAAAGACGTACACCTGCACTCTGGTTGACACCAAAAGCTTCATATGCTTATCCACGTTTTTCAATTACTGATAACTTTGATGCCGGAACTACTATAGTTAGTGATGGAATTTTGCTTAACCGATGGTACCATATGGCATACACAATCTCGGATTCAGAAAAGCGAATGGATTTCTACATTGATGGTAAATGGGTTGGATATTCGAGTATCGTGCTAGTTCAGGTTCAGAATGTCTTATTCAATGATGCACCATTATATATTGGAAGTGATCTCACATTAAATGCAATTACTGGACAAATTAGATAAGTATGAGGTTTTACAGTAAAATCAATCAAGTAATCGTATAATGATAATTATTTCATAATTAGAAATTTTTGTTATTATAACTATCGTCTATCCCCCAAAGAAGTATTAATAGATTATTTGATAAAACTTATTTTCAGATTTTTTATAAGAGCAGTTTCTATTAAAATAATATAACTAATCGTATTATGCTTGCGACTCAACAATAAGGGTGAAGATCCAACAAAAAGTAATGAAACAATAACACCACCAAATGGAACAATGGCTCCATCAAATGGAACCTCTGTTTATGAAAATTCATGTCCTAAAATGGGCGGAGTATTAGCCGGTTCAATTATAGGATCATTTTTCTGCGGCATGATATTTTTAGCGATAGGTTTATTTCTACGTAAAAGTATAACGCGGAACACATCTGATTATGATAATCATGTGACCAACAATCAAATGATTCAATAATAGGATTACAACTTTTGGTAAGAATAATTTTATGTTCCTAAGCTAATTATTTAAAATAACTTAATATGCAAGTTAAATAAAAGCGAACATGCGTGAACATTAGTAAAATCTGTTCTACAAGTGCCTCATGGCAAGGTGTATTTTAACTTAAGTTATGGTCCCGAAAAAGTTACTTATCGTTATAGATTTCAATTATTTAAAACATTTACTAACAAATATCTCATATTTTCTACAACTATGAATGTTACTTTAACTTTATCTATTTATTTTTGCAAAAACTGATCACTTGTTCATCATCATTTGCAATTGACCTTAATCTGAGATGTTCTTCATATCTTTTTAATCGTATGGAATTTTTACGCATGACTATGTTTTAAACATAAAGGCTGTATTAATATTTTCGTACGAAAATAAACAATGTGTTTGACAATTCCACGATCGATAAAATTTAGAATTATTCTGGAAAGATATACGTATAACATTGGAATTAATTATTAAGAAAAAGAAGATGATATTAAAGGGTAATATGATTTCGAGAGTAAAAGTTATTGCTTCCAATAGAATATTTAAATCATTTTTCGCAGATTATTAAATTTATTTTTATAATTTAGAATATTTTTGTAATAGAATTTTTAATTTCAAAGCCCTTTATTTTGAAATATTTCAAAGTATTTTCTGAATAAAAAATTCTATTAACGTAATTTGTTTTTGAGGTAAAATATGAGATATATATTTACTTATTTGGTTGAAATATAAATAAATATTCGTACAACATTTTCATGTGGCGCAGAAAATAACGTTCACGATTATTTAGTTAAACAAAAATCTGTTTAAGGAAATTTATTCAAATTAGAAAAATTTCCGAATTCATCCGAATAAAAGTACCAATTTTTTATAAAAAAAAAAAAAAAATATTTTTTTTTTTTTAGTTTTTTATATAATACATTTCCAAGATGAGAATAATACTACCTAATTACTATTATTTGACAATAATATTTATCATTAATAATTCACTATTAATTTTTTGCCAGCAACAGAATCAAAGAACATACCGTGAATTAATTACAGAACCTATTGCACTTACCTAAAGATTATAGAATTATCAACCATTCGGAGTTACCGTCGGTAAAAGATGAATTGTCAGTAACACTAAAAATAAATATTATGGCGCATAATCCTTCTTGGGCTACCGTATTTCATAAAGGTATGTTTGTATATTAACTTATTAACTTTGAAAAGTCCTTCAGTTTTATGTGAAATATAATTTCATATTTTTTACGTTTAGGAGGGTTAAAAAGACGTACACCTTCACTCTTCTTGACACCAAATACTTCACATGCACGTCCACGTTACACTATTACAGATAATTATACTTTTGGGCTTGACATGGTTGCCGATGGGCTTTTGCTTAACCGATGGTACCATATGGCATACACACTCTCGGATCCTGAAAAACGGATGGATTTCTATATTGATGGAATATGGGCTGGATTTTCAAGTATCATGCTTGTTCAAGTTCAGAATGTCATATTCAATGATGCACCATTATACATTGGAAATGATCTCGAAAATGATGCAATTACTGGACAAATTAGGTATATATGGAGGTCATAATCAAGCAAATTGGTTATACTACTCATATTAAATGATTATTAATTTATAATTAGCAATTTTCGTTATTATAAGAAGTATTAATGAATTATTCGGTATGATATTTTTATAGATTTATATGTTTTTCTAAAATTGCTAATGATGCTTTTAATTTAGGGTGAAAATCCAACAAAAAGTAATGAAACAATAACACCATGTAGTTTTCCAACAGCTATAGCAGCAGGCTATGAACCTTCATATTCTAATACAAAGGGAATTTTGCCGGTTCAATTATAGGATCATTTTTCTGTGGTATTATATTTTTAGTAGTTGGTTTATTTTTACATAAAAGTTTAAAACGGAATACATCTGATGATAATCATAGCACTAATAATCAAATAATCAAATAGTGTTCACAAATAAGGTTACAACTTACGATAAGGAAACTTAATGTAATATTATATAGCACTTGAACTTATTTAAGTGAAGGTTAAAGTAAATGCAAATATACGTACAAATTAGCAAAATCCTTTCAAAAATGACTTGTGACCAGGCTAAGTTATGATCCCAAACAACTTCATAATTTCAAGTTAATTAAATCTTTCGCAATAATATCTTCATATTTTCTACAATCATGATGGTTACTATAACTTCACACTCTATACCTTTAGGTTAAAAATATGCTAATTATACATACATCATTTGTCATCAGAGTTTAAAATCAGAGCTTTGATCTCTACTCGTTCTTCGCAGCTTTCTAATCGTATGGAAATTATTTCGCATAACCATAAAAAGGTTACAAGAATATTTATGGACAGATACTTTTATTTTGACAAATTCATGATCGGTAACATTTAGAATTAATTCGAAATTGATATTAATTCTGGAAGTATTATATCTCATTGAAATTCAAATCTCGCAATATTTAACAATTCATAAACTAATTTAATTTTCCAAGAAAAAGAAGAAAATATGAAACGACCCTTTCGGAGCATTCTAAATAAACGAAGATTTTATAATAAAAATGTTTTTATTTCGTAATATTAGTTAAAAATTTAAACAATAGAAGATTAATTTAACGAATAGAATATTATATAAATGCCTGTATGGTAAGGGAGTACTTCTGATTTTATTATATGTCACATTGAACACAATATACCCTTCCAACAGTTTTCTGCAACGCCAAGTCTTTGCTAATTTATGATACATTACCTTTCGGTAAAAAAAATTCATATTGTGTAGTAAAATAATTTAACGTGAAACGAACACAAAAATCTTTAAAAGGAATTTTATTCAAATTGTAAATTTTCCGAATTAATCGAACAAAAATATAGTGAAACTTTCACATGCACCCCCCCCCCCCCCCGGGACAGTAATGAAAATTTGAGAAATAGTTCTTTAAAGAAGTGTGCATTTTATAGAGTAACTGTATATGATCTTTATAGACTTGATGCTTTATTAACTGTGCATTTATAGAGTGAGTGCGCATTTAGAGGTCTAATCTCACTGTATTAATTTTTTTATAATAAAAAAAAATTTGCTTATATATAAAATTAAATTCCAAAGATGAGAATCTTACTACCTAATTACTATTATTTAGCTATAATATTCATATTTAATAATTTATTATTAGTTTTTTGCCAACAGCAGAATAAAGAACTTTTCGTGAATTAATTACAGATCCAATTGCACTTACACCTGAGGATAATAGAATGATTAATCATTCAGAGTTACCGCCGGTAAAAGATGAATTGTCAGTAACACTAAAAATAAATATAGTGTCACATAATCCTTCTTTTGCAGCTGTTTTTCACAAAGGTAATTTATATGACTACTTATTTCAGATATACAGTATGTGAAATGTAACTTTGCTTTTATATTTAGGAGGAGTAAATGGACGCACCCCTTCACTCCTCCTGACACCAGGAACTTCACACGCGCGTCCACGTTTCTCAACTACCGATAATGTTAAGTTTGGGATTGAAATGGTTGGTAATGGTCTTTTGCTAAACCAATGCTACCATATGGCATACACACTCTCAGATTCTGAAAAGCGGATGGATTTCTATATTGACGGTGAATGGGTTGGATTTTCAAATATCATGCTTGTTCAAGTATGAAGCTTGTAATCAAGAAATTTGGTCGTGCAATCATAATAAATTATTATTTTTTTTTAATTAGCAATTTTCGTTATTATATTTATCGCCTATCCAAAAGAAGTATTAGTGGATTATTCGGTAGGACTATTTTATATTATACAGTACTTTCGCTTTACCCAAATCTCTAATGATTGCTTTTAATTTAGGGTGAAAACCAAACACAAAGTAATGAAACAATAACAACTTCATTTAGTGATCCAGCAGCAATAGCAACAGGTTATAAAAATTCATGTCCAAATACAAGTGTTTTAGCCAATTATAGGATCATTTTTCTGTGGAATTTTTATTGCAGTAGGTTTATTTTTACGTAAAATTTTAAAGCGGAAGAGAACATCTATATATGATAATAATGGACCTAACAATCAAATAGTCTTTGCATCTCAAAACGAATAATTTTACCTGTAATGAGCTCAATTTATATCTGGTCATTTATATCATATCCTTAAATAAACCCTTTAAATTAAAGTAAGTATGCCTGTAAAGTCAGAAAAAAATTTTAACAACTGACAAAATAAACATTCAATTTGCCTTTAAAGATTTCAAGATTGATGCCATCATGTACAAATGATACTTCGAATCAAACAACTTAATATTTAATTTATAGGCTTAATTTTTTATCATTTTTTTAATTAAAAAATTCAGAGATTTCTATAAGGATAAATTTACCTTTCGATGAAATGTTTATTAAATAAATTTGGCATGAACGTATATAAATTTTGCTGTTAATATAAATCCTGATCGATAAAATTCTTAATATAGAAAATCTCGCATTATTTAAAAATAATACTTTTTTTTTCTAGGAAGAAAAAAAAAAGAGAAAAGATTAAATAAATTGGGCGCGTACACAAAATTCACAACAAATTCATTTGGATTTGATTGAGTCGACGCCTTAAATCCGATCCACATTATCAATTTTTTTTTTACTTTTCATTTGTACTATCTAAATTTGTTGTGTTGTTTTTAATGATGGAAAGTTATGAATGCAAGATAATATACCGGAGTGCTACGAAAATCAAAAAAGCCTTGTCAATGGAATGATGCTATTAAGCTGTTTGCTTTCATTTTTAATAGAACGAAAAAAAAGTGATTCAATCATGTACTGTATAAAGAGAGGTGTAATACTAAAGCAAAATTTCGGAAAGAAACATCAGATATCAACAATGTAATTTGATATAAAAATACATCAAAATCTTTAAATTTCGGCCAATTACATTTTGTATTTTACATTTCATTAAAGAATCAACAGTATTATTATTATAGCTTTTTTGTTTATTTGCAATTTTTCATTTTAAGCTTGAAGATTTATTTATGAGAGAGCCGTTCAAAATCCCGATTGGCCATAATCTCGAATATCATAATTTAACATTATAACATAATAATAGTTTGCTAATTATTCGATTTGTATCGCATTACATTATTAATTTTTTATCAATGATTTTTATTTAAACTTTCTTTCGATGAGATAATACATTGTATGATTTAGCAATTCTCGTCCATTATTGTCGATGGTTGGCAAAAATATTTGAAAAGTGGTCAAGATAAAGATTTTATTGCTATATTTTAAAGCAAATAATTAAAAAACTCAAATACTTTGACAAAACTCTTAAAAAATATACTTAATATTTAACAATAATATGGCCATTCGTGATTATTTGGGGCCTTTGCAATAGAAAGGGGGGAACTGCCGGAAAAATAAAAAATGAGTTAAATTTGAACATATTTCGGCCTGAAAATCATATTTAGTAAAATTGATTTTTCCCGGCAGTTTCCCCTTTCTATTGCAAAGGCCCATTTGACCTTTGGCCTTCGGGATTTTGATCACCAAACCCATTTATGACATTAAAAAATCAAGTTTGAAAATTAACCGATCTAAATACAAGTAACTACAGCTAAAAAAAACAATTTGCAAAATTTAGGCAAGTGATCTTTCCATAAGACTGAAGTAACCACACATTAATTTTTTTTTTTTATTTTTTTTTTTTTGCATTTTTCATTTTATGCTGTTGTTGCTGCGATGCCAAATTATTATTTGTTATTTTAAATAATCTTGGTCATACTTTGTATGTTTTTCTCACTTCAAAATAAATGTATACTTTAAAATATTTTATAAAGTTATAAATTAAAGTTTCTATTATTATTTGGGAGAATAAATTTGAAATTATCGACTGTTTTTAATCCGTCAATTTCTGCCACCATTTCAATTTCCCACCTACATTAGTTGTGTTGAATTTTTTTTTTTTAAAAAAAAAATATATATATATATATTTAACGCGAAATTTGATGATTTTCGCGCTCATGATAAATCCGAAGGGAAACAATAAATTCATTTTATTGTGAAAATTTTTGATTTCACAATTCATTTTGAGTGTGTATTTTAAAAAATTGCTGCTTTTAAAGTTATTCTTACTTGTGAGTATAATTCACCGTTAAGTTTCTTCAATATTTAAGTAATTTACAGTCATTCTGAGAAAATTTTAGTAATTATAAAGAATTAATTAAACAATTTTTTATATTCCTAAATTTATTGCGCGGAAGTTTGAAATATTAAATAAAAAAAATTTTTTTCAAGTAAGGACCGACGATTAATATAGGTAGGTTTCGTAAAAAAAAAAATAAAATAAAATAAAAATAAAAATAAATTAAAAAATAAAATATTAATACATTTTGAAAGTATCACATTCCAGTAATTGTTTAAATTAAAACTTTAATTAAAATCAGGGAATGTTTTGAGGATGAATTGGATGAATTGTAAAAATGTACTTTGGCAATGTGAATGATGACGGGTTAAGGATAAAGAAGCTGAATACAATTAATTTGCACGCTTTCTCTTACGTATATGAAGACTGACAAGGGTGGAATTAAATAATCCGAAATTCGGATTTTCCCGAAAAATTCGATTCTAATTTGAATCAAAATTGGATGATTTTAATTTGATAACCTTCGGATTGGATTCAAAACGAGGATCCAAATATACAGTATATAAAATAAAAGGTAAAATTTATTGTGGTTATTTTTTTTTAACTTATCATTTACATAATGAATAAAGAGTTTAGAGAGCTATTTAATGAAATTCACGATTACTTTTGTAAGTTTAAATTAAATTCCAACAAATTTTTTTTATTTTTAAAAAAAAAGAAACTAAAAATACTTATTTTAGATTCATTAACAACAATGGAGGTAGTGATCGGAATCATTATATTCGGATTAAATATAGTCCTTTTGATTTTTTATCTTTATGCGCGAATTAAATTTCCTAAAGTAATACATTCTTTATATATAATTATTTTTTTTTATTAAAAAAATATTTTAAAATATATATACATTAATTTGTAATTTATTAAATGTAGGAGAAAAATTCAATCATATTTACATTCACATTATTCATCATCGATATGTTTATGGATGTAGCATTTTTAGTACATTTTTTGGATGTTCCGTTTTTATTTCTTCCAAGGTATGGTAAAAAAAAAATCATTCAGAAATTGTTAAAGCCCTCTCTAACTTATTTTTTAATTTTTTTTAGCTTAATATTATTGTTTGGAACAGCAGGATTAAATCTTTTGATTGCAATTATGTTATTTTTAAGTCAAATTTATATAAATGACGATTTTAAACAATGGATACGACTAAATAGCCGTGTAGCGACATTATTCACAATTTTATCAATATTTCATATCGAAGTCTTAAAGGTTCTTACATCAAATTTCTTACACTCTGAAACATTTAATGCTCCGATTAGCAATTCAGCAAGGAAATGGTTATCGATAACTGGATTATTCCTGGTCGTTGTTGAAGATGTACCTCAATTTGTTATCCTTGTAAGTCAAAATAATTTCTTTTTTGAGTAACAGGATTTTTTATATTTAATCATCTGATTATTATTATTGTTTTCCTCGTCTTGGAATTAGGTACTGCATTTCAAGGCTCTAGGAAAAATTTTTATGTTAAAATCATTAATAACGTTGTTTGTGAGCTTTATAAGCCTATCAACAGGTCTAATACACAGAATATACGTATTGGCAGCGTCATAGTTTAATGAGTGTATTATATTTACTTAAAATAACGGGTAGTCAACATCACCGAATCATGTGATATTATATTACCTATTTGTCATTGGTTATTTGTCGGCGTGGTTAGTGTTATTATAATATCACATGATCCGGTGATAGTAACCACCCATTATAGTTAAAAATATTCTGAAATTAAATAAATTTTATTGAGCGATTTTAATATTATGCAAATATAAAATATACATGTATATTTAAGAATGGGTTTCTATAAAAAAAATAAATTATCATTTTTAAAATCGTATCAGATAAAATAGATGACTAAAATCACTTATAAAACAGTTTGTATTAATGTGAGTCTTATTAATAATAGAAAATAGTACACTGGTAGTATGATACAGGCTTTAGAAGTGTTATGTGAAAATAACATATTATTTGAAAGCAATTGTATCAATAATTACAATTGTGTATGATAGAGAAATAAATAATAACAGAAATTGATAATAAGGCCGGGCAAAAATTTTTTTAGATTCTCGTGACCCGGTCGCCTCAATTTTTACAAAAATTCATGATTTTTTTTTATAGTAAAATTTTTTTCCAAGTGACTTTACATTATGAAAATCGTAATGGTGTGCGTGGCATTTACTTTATTATAAAAAATTTAACGTACAGTATAATATAAAGTACATATAAAAAAATTTTATATATAACCGGGTGACCGTGTCAAATTTAAAATTTTATGTAAAAATATTTTGCACGCTTTTTTATCGTTGCGAAATTGCTGCGGCTGATCATCATAATTTTTATAATAAATTTTTTTTTAGACAATTTGTTCGGAGGACCTTTGACTTGACTGGAAAACATTATAGCGAGTAGTCATTTTGACAGGAGGATAATTTGTCCCGCGTAATGTTTTTAATCGAAATATGTATGAATTAATCGAGCCGGCAATTAATTGATCACCAAATTTTTGTTTCAATTAAAAATTGTTCGATTAAATTGGCGTAGTTGATTTATCAAAATTTGCTACTTTTGATCAAGGAAAAATGGCGTTAAAGTTTGGCAATTTTTAACTCATTTGCTTTTTTCTAATAATTGACTTTCTTTTTATGAATATATACGATTTCCTAAATAGGTGAATATGTACAATTATTATAAAAATAAATCACGAATATGGACTTTATTGCTTTGATATTTTTAAAACGTGCCGAACAAAAGCAGAGAACATAAGTATCTCAACACATACATTAAATTGGAAAGTTATTTATCGCATATTAAGAAATTTTAAAATAATTGATTGTTCGATCAATGAATATAAATTATTTATTCGAACTTTTGAGGCAATAAATATCACTAACCTAATTAATGTAACAATAATTAACTTTCCGATTTAATATTAAATTAGTGTTGTCTAGCTATTTTAAAAATAATGGTAGTAAGCATGCGGTAATAAAATATTATTATTTAGGCCGTCTAATATGACAAATTTACAAGCAAATCCGGAAATGCTATTCCGTTGTGTAACAGCAACCTTTAAATAAATGCTGGATTTAATTATTTAAATATTAAAATGAAACAAAATGGAACTTACAAAAAATAATGAAAATTGTTTTGACCCAACTCCAAAATTGAAATCTAGTCCTCTACCAATTACATTTATTCGTTTTTATAATGAATTTAAATGTCATTGTGGAAATCAATATTCCAAGACGGTTTTATTTAATCAAAAATATTGCAAGAGATGCTTGTCCACGTATATTAGTTATATTGGTAAAGACAACATTTATTTGGATTTAATTATAGTTGTAAATTATGAAATTAATGTACAATGTAATAAACATGAAAATAATAGACATAATTGGTGTGAAGTTTGCTCTGATATTTTATATTTCAAACAAGCATATAGTCATTATTACAGTTATACGGGTGTAAAGGAAATCAAATTATTGAAAGATAATGAGGATTGCAAATTATGTGAAAAGTTACTTTATCAGGAGAAATCGAATATGGCTGACTTAAGGATATGCTCAGAATGCTATATAGTTTCTTATGGGTGGGTAGAATCAACTTGTACTAAAAAGCAAATTCCAGTTCTATATTTACCATGGTGGGATCAAAATAAGTCTTGTAGAAATTGTCGTAATGACATGACATACGAATCTGATGGTCTTAAATGGTGTAAATATTGCCAGATAACTTATAAAGGATGTACATACTGTTTAACAACAAATATCATTTTTGGAATTACAGATAAATCTCAATGTAAAAAATGCAAAAGAGTAACGAAATTAACTATTAATACTTCGTCACCAATAACACCAATAAGCAGTGGAAACGTTAATATCGATGAGTTTATCAACCATACAACCTTTAACAATCAGTATATAAATAGTATTGTGAAAAATTCTAATCCACTAAATGTATATAAAGTTTTTACAGAAAAACCTATTCTTTCACGATCAGTTATAAAATGGATTCCATATTCTCAAATAGCAGATTTAAAACGAATAGCAGAAGGTGGATTTGGTATTATTTATAAAGCAAAATATCTAGGTGAAATACCTAAAGTTAAAGATAATAGTAATGTTTCAAATATCGAATATAGTAAAAATGAAACTGTTGCCGTAAAAAGGTTCATAAATTCAAAAGATATTAGCAAGTATTTTTTAAATGAGGTAATTTTTCAAAATTTTCATAATGAAATGTAATATTTCATAATTTTGAATAATTTAAATTTATGTTATTTTAGTTAAATTCACATCATAGTTGCTGTTCTGATAGTAATGTTAATCGCGTTATGAGATGTTATGGTATTACAAAAGATCCCGAAACAAACGATTATATGTTGATAATGGATTTTGCATCAGGTGGAGATTTACATAATCGTTTACAAAGTAATTTTACAGAGTTATCATGGAATAAGAAAAAATTAAGAATTTTATGGAACATATTAAATGGGTATGTTTTTATATATAATTAATTTCAAAAAAATAAAAATAATTATTAATTATATTATAACGGTAGACTCGAAACTATTCACAATAAAGAACTCATACATCGAGACGTTCATAGCGGAAATATATTATTTGTTGAACAAAATGATTACAGATATCAATGGCAAATTGGAGATCTAGGATTATCACAACCTGCAAATAATACTTCATTAAATAATGAAATATATGGGGTAATCCCTTATATTGCACCAGAAATATTTAATGGTGCTCCATTTTCAAAAAAATCTGATGTTTATAGTGTAGGCATGATTATGTGGGAACTTACAACAGGTTGTAAGCCGTTTTCTAATGTCGAACATGATCACGTACTTATTTATGAAATTATTGATGGAAAACGACCCGAGATTACAAATGATACTCCTGAATGTTATGTTGATTTAATGAAAAGATGTTGGGATTCTGATCCTTCAAAGAGATCTTCTATAAAAGTAATACGTCAAACAGTTGGTAGTTGGCTTTATAGGAAAAAAAATGATGACCTATTTGATCAAGCTGAAAAAAAACGAGTTAAATTAATGAATTTAAAGAAACTTGGTCCTAAATTAATTGAAAAACATCCAAATGCAATTTATACAAGTAGAGCATTAAGTTCTTTAATTTCTAGGCCCTTAAATTTGTCTGCGAATTCCTTTAATGGTGCACTAGGTACTTATAATAATTAATATGAATTAACTTAAATAATTGTGATTGATAATACCATAATAATTATTTTAGATAATAAATTTGAGACTTTGATTCAAGAATCAAAAAGTGAAGGTATTTTAGCTAATATTTATTTAGCAAAACTATTGTCAATTCAAGAATAATTTTATTCGAGTACTCGTTATTAATGGGGAAATTAAACGTTATATTATAATTAGATTTTAATGAATTTTGTATTAATTTTTATTTATTAACTTCAGAGTATATTTCAAAAGAATATGAGTTTGATATGGATACTCGGGGGTATTTATAATTGCGAAAAAAAATTTCTTTTAAAATAAAACTACTCATTAAATATTAAAATAATATTTTTTCAACAATTTTTAGGTTACTTGCAATAAATGCTCAACCTTCAAATGTAATGTCAACAGAAAACTCTTCAAAAAAGCGAAGTATTAAAGAATTAGAAGCTAAAACACAAGTTTATCGTAAGCAATGAATTTTTACATTTATAATGATTTATTTTGTTTAAATTAATTTTCACTTTCTAAAATATTTAGAAAAGCAAATTAAAACTTCCAGCGAATCCAAAATTTCTTTAAATTTTTATAATTCAATCTCGGAACTTTAAGGATAGGATTACTTGTTTTTTTGATCTGATCTTTGACTGCACAAAGGTTAGTTGTTGAGGCTCTGACGATCGATCTATGGCGGATACCGTATGTCGAAACTTACACTTTGGACTTTTCTGATCATTCGAACTTATAGACAGATAGGAATGATAAATTTCTGACATCAGAGATCTATTAAATTGTCTATCCGTCCATAAGCCACAATTAAATGGTATTTTAAGGGAACTCCATGGGAAGAAAAATGTTTATAAAATGCATCGTTTTTCTTTGTTTTCGATAGGATTAAATTATGAACATTCTTTTTCTCTAAAGACCATTACAGTGCGCCGGCTAAGGCAGTAATATTTGAATTTCATTGTATCCTATTTATTTTATAAAATAAACATATTCTTTTTCATTGACTTTAAAATTGACCTCCCTAACGATATTAGGAGATAACAATATTCAGAAATTTATATAAATATATTATATTCATGATAAAGTGCATTATTAAAATTGCATTTAGAATGCGGTTATATTATATATTATACAAGTTTTCAATAAATTCATATTGGAATGTTGACTAAACATAACCGTGGCGATGAGATTAAATGAGCTACTGTAACGATGTTTAAAATATTTTTTATTATTTGGACATTGTTGTCCAGTTTGTTCAGTTTATTTTAGACTGCGCGAATCAATTTGTCCAATTCGTCCAAAATTCCTTCTGTTCAATAAGTCCTTGATAATTTTTACTATAATAATGGTGAATTTCGCCTAGATAAAACGCATGATGAAAAGAAAAATTAAGTTAGCATTTGTTTCGAACTTTCTTTCTTTGTAATATTAACAAAACCTTAAATAAAATAAAGAACGCCTCTATTCGTGTAGAGCCCGACAATTGAGGCTTATTTGCGTTATTAAAATATTTTAAATATACAGGACAATTATAGCAAAATATTATAACCTATGATCGCATTTAATATAAATAAACACATAAACTTGTCCTCATTCCAATGTATGTTGTTTGTCAGATTATTCCTTTGATAATTCCAAATTCAGATTGCACATCAGTAGACAAAGTATTTTCAACTGCTCATAACTTTACATAATGATCCCCATTGAATTCAACTATAGAATATAAACATTTTGATAATAGTTAACCTCTTTAATAAAATTGTTTCAAAGAGAATATACTCAAATAATACTTTCAAAATTTTCCATTTTTTCAAGAATAGTAAAAATAAATCCATCATTTTCAATTTATGCTTATTCCAATCTAAGTAAATTTGAATGCAATAATTTCTATTATCGCAAAAAGTATCTAACAAATTTTAAAGATACCACACATCGATATTTTACTGGATTTATTATCGGAGTTGAATTTTCCGGGAAAATATCAATGTTTCGTCGTCATTACCGAGATATATCACTTGAAAATCGATTTGGGAAATTATTTATTAATAAAGTTTTTTAAAATTACATGGTTTCAAATACAATTAAAGACTGTGTTTTTAAATGTGTTAATTATGACTATGTAGTATATTCTAATTAAAATAAAAGTTAACATTTTGAAAATGGCATTTTTAAATATTGGTGTCTTTTCTTTATTATTATTATCAGAAAGAACATTTCTTGTTAAATTCTGTGATTCAAGATTTGTAATTTGTGAAACTTGTAATGGTTGCATATTATAATCTTGAATTTGTTGAACAGACTCATTATTGATAATATTTTTATTTGAGATTCATGATCTTGTAAATTATAAGTGGAACTAGAAATTGCGAATAGAGGGGACTTCATTCCCACACAACTTATCAACCTACCTCATTCATTGCAATGCAATTTACAAGAATCTTTTTTTTATAAAATAAAAAGAATAAATAATTACTTGAAATACATATATAAATTGTTTGTTTATATGTAAAGAGAATAGTTTATTAAATTATAATCTGTATAATAAACATCAAGAAAATAAATATATTATAAAAATATAAGAAAAATAAGAAATTAAGAAATTATAGAAAATTAAGAAAGTTCAGATCTTAGTGATTTATTATGATTACAAATCATGAAACTATGATTAACGCTATATTGTATATCCAAATCAATCCTTTTCTTTTTAATTTTAAAGCCAATTAAACCTTCTTGAAATAATATTTTTTTTAGTGTTGGATTTTCTTCATTTTCTTCATAATTTTTATTTTAAAAATTTTTTATTTTTAATCAAATGACATCATTTCTTGTATCATGTCACATAATTTGTTATTAAACTTTTGACAAATATTTTTGATCACTTTCTTACCAAGTAATAAGATTTTGTTTTTTTTACTTTCAATTAATTCAGTAATTATAATGGTTTATTTTAAATTATTAAAAAAAAAAATAAAAAAATAAAAGAAATTAAATACAATATTACAGTTTTATCTCATTACAAATTGTATTAAAAAAAATATATATAAATACAAAATCAGCTTTATCTTTCTGAATTGTACCTATATAAAAAATTGTTAAAAAATATAAAAAATAAAATACAACAGTTTTATTTCACTACAAATTGTATTAAAAAAGAAAATATAAATACAAAATCAGTTTTATTTTGATGAATTATACCTATATATTTAAATTAAAAAAAAAATAAAAAAAAATAAAAATTAATTAATATATTTATGAAAAAAATTAATGGTTTTGTTAATATTTATTCTATATTAATGAAATTTGATATACAATCATTTTAAAATCTATTAAACAATCTTGTTTAATTCAGAAAGGCTGTTTTATTTGATCAAAGTACTAGAATTATATAATGAAATAAAAATTAAATAAAATAAAATTAAAAAAAATTAGTATATTTATGAAAAAATTGATAGTTTTGTGAATATTTATTGAATATTAATAAAATTTGACACAAAATCATTTTGATACTTATTAAACAACTTTGTTTTAATCTTAGAATATATTAAATTAAAATTAAAATTAAAAAAAATTTTTTTTGAAATTTTTTTTCTGTAATACAATATCTATACACAAAAGATGTAACATAACGAATATAATGCAAAATGAAGGATCATCTAAAGAAATGATCCACAAATTTAAATTCTTAAAAAAACTACTTTATGATCATTAAATTTAACATGACGCAAAAGTATCACAAGAGTTTCTTTCATGATTCTATTCTAATAATTTCAAAGAAGCTATAAGCTTATTGCAATTGTGAAAATATATAAATATGATATACTAGTATATCATATATATATATTGTATATATATATATTTTTTATTTTTTATTTTTTTTTTTGATGTGGCTCTGTCAACTATTTTATTAAGATTTATAGATTTTTCCGAAGAAAATAAAAGAAGTTACAAGTAATGAAAAACAAAACAAAATAAAAACTATCTAATAATCTAGACTAAATGTTAGCTACCTCACGATAATAGAATATGTAAATATATCTATCCATCTAGATTGACCTATCATCATCAATTCCCTCCTTTAGACCCAAAGAGACTAGCCCAATGACTACTAAAATCATCAAGAAAGAAAAAGAACATGTCAAAACCGATTTAAAAATTTGATCATTTATATCCATATGTAAAGGCGAGTTGAATCCATAGTTCCCAAGTATTAGTTGTAGCTATGCTGTTATCATAGGACAAATGTTTGCATTTTTTCTTCATATTTTTCATGTCAGAAGTGATATTTTTTGATAATTTTTTGGCAATCATAAGAGAGCAGCGATATGACCAAATTTTCTTGAATAAACACTCATAAAGTGCAACGATTGAAGTCATAAGAATATTATTGGTCTTTTTAGAAGATCCAATCAAATTCGTGAAATCATTAAATAATGAAGAAGGTAATTTCCCTTGAATAATAGGTAGAAGAGAGCTAATTCTGTGTGTTGGGTGTACAAAGTATTTGTTTAGGAGCAAATTCAAGGATGTTGAGATAGAAGTAAAGAGAGAAGGAGAACAGCATTTTGAAGTTAAATCAATGATCTGAGACTTAACGTCAGAGATAATGATATTGATTTTTGATGAGTAAGACCATAAGTCATCAGCTGTCTCAGTAGTTAAATTGCATCCAACGCAGTTCCAGTTTTTATATAAATCTGGTCTTAGTTTTTCCAATCATGATAATGTAAGTAATTCGCTCAGAAATATCTTCATTATAAATGAATAAAGCTTTCGTTATTGAAAAAAAGTTGAGTATGTAGCCTGATCTAACGTAAAGATAGACCATATTGTCATCATAATGAATTTTTGCTTGTCTTGTTAAGGATTTGAGATCATTATTTCTATGTAAGTTAATGATATTTGAGACAGCAGTAGCGGCAAAAATGTTTTTAGCAAAATGTCTTACTGATGATTCAATTATAATATCATTAAATTGAAATAAACACGTAATAGAGGGGACATTAAGATAGTTGATAGAAATTTCTGGTGATTGTGTTTCTGATTTAGCTAAATCATCAGCTATATTATTATAAATATCACCACTGTGTCCTTTGACTTTTTTGAGTGTAACACTGAGGTTGGAATGATTCACAATAAATTTGATAGTCTTCCAGAGAGTGTAATTAGACACTTTTTCAAATGTTCGAACAGAAAGGTTATTATTGGAAATGTAAGAACTGAAGCCATAGATAGTAGCCATACTATCAGTAAATAAAATGACATCTGAATTTTTAGGAGAAACAATCAAAGTAGTAAGAAGTGCAAAGATTTCAGCTCTAGTTGAAGAAACCCAATTGGTAACAGATGCACAGAAGGATTGTAGTTGATTCAAACATATCCAACCTATTCCCATTCTACAATTATCAGAAGTAGGATGTATTAAAGAACTATCTGTATAAAATGATAGAAAAAGAGCAGAA